CAGCAGGTGATGATCGCTGTCGCCCAGGTGGTCGAGCACCCGCAGCCCCCACAGCCCCCACACCAGATCGTCACCCATGGCCAGCACCAGGTCCAACAGGGTGTCTTCCCTGGTGGGGCTGTGCACCTCCTGGGTTAGATGGCGTCCTGCATTCTGGCTAGGGACCTATGTGAGCGGTCAGACCTGGCTGACTGCTCCTCCCAGCAGATGTCCGGGAAGTTCAGGTCCCCCATGACTACCACATCCTTTGACCTAACAACCTCTGTGAGCTGACTTAAGAATTCCTGGTCTAGCTCTTCCCCGTGGTCAGGTGGTCTGTAGTAGACCCCCACCGTTAAATCTCTTTCCCCTCGACTGCCTTGTATCCTAACCCAGAGCACTTCTGTGTGCCCCTCCTCTGACTCTGTGCTACCTGGTGAGGCTGTGTATTCCTCCTCAACGTACAGCACCACCCCCCGCCTCTCCTCCCTGTCCTGTCCCTCCTGTACAGCCCATAGCCCTTGACATTCACCGCCCAGTCATGCGTTGGGTCCCACCACGTTTCAGTGAGCCCCACTATGTCTGGGCTGGTGTCAGCTAGCGGGAGGGTGAGTTCCTCTTGCTTGTTTCCCATACTGTGAGCGTTTGTGGAGAGGCATTTGAGGCCTCCTGTGGATGTGTGCACTGGCCCCCTAATCTCAGCATTGCCCGGGCCCCTGTTGCTTACCTGGGTATTTGTTCTGCTCTTCGGTCTAGGCTGGGCTGTACTTGTGAGCGCTGCTCGGTTTAGCAGTCCAAGGCTTCCTCCTCCCTCATCTTACCCTTCCCCCGATGAGCCTACTTTAAAGCCCGCCAGAGGACATCCGCCAGCCTAGAAGAAAACACACACTTACCTTTAGGGGAAGGGAGGAGCCCATCCCACCCGAGCATGTCTCCCTCCTGGCCCTTCCTGCTCGCCCACCAGTTGTAGGCTGGTGCATCCGGGGAGAGTGCAGTGAGCTCAGGGCAAGCTGGGCAAAGTGCTGGGGGTCTGGCCAGGGTTGTATTTTTCAAATATAAATATTTCATGTCAAATCAGTACCAAATACACTTGGGCAAATTCCAAAAGTCAAGTCTCAAATTTTGACTGAGCAGAGCTTAGTCACTCAAGTCTGTGTGGCTCTACTGCCAGGCAAATATCCTCCCTCCCAAACCCATCTGTCTGGGACTTCAGATATTCCCCAAATCCATGGCAGGCATCCTATGTGCAAGCCCCAAGCCCAGAGGCCTTGGGGTTCAGATGCCCCCTAGTCTCACTTGGTCCTAGCCAAAAGGCCAAGGAGAAAACTAGGGCAAAAGCAAGAACACAGCTCCCCATTGCCACAAAACGGTGCAGTCATTTCCCGGATGTGGGGAAATTCACAGGGGTCAGCCTGCCCGGAGTGCACGGGGCAGGCCTCACCCTCGGAAACCACCTTGGTGACCCTGCCAGGTTGATCTCGGCCCAAAGGCCATGCCTGGACATCTGTCCTGGCTCTCAGCAGACTGAACTCCAGAGCTCCTCAGGAAGCAGTTGTGTGTGACATGGCTTTAAAGCCTGTGTGAGCCAGGCTGAATGGCACTGCTAGAAGAACAGCTCCTTTCTCTTCCTTTTCTGCATTAAAAACCTCGCAGCCCATAATCACACCTAGTATAAACTGCAAGGGAAATATTTCCAGCCCCTTCTGTTTCGAATGTGCTGGGGAACGGTATAATTAAAGATGTTGATGTGTAGCGAGAACTCACAGTAACTGCTGGGGTAGATTAATTTAAATACAAAATGCATATGCTATGAATAGTAATCTGGCTCTTGT